TCATTGCTTAAAGAAATTTCTGAGATTAATATAGAGTATAGAGATAGTATGTATAAATTAGTTACTAAGAAGCGAGTAATGTCCTTAGAACAATATTTAATATTATATTATTTGGATAAGTATAAGCTACTAGTAGGTTTCTGAAACATATGATACAAAGTAGTTAGTCTAGAAATTGCACGCTATCAAATACTATTGAAGTTACAGGATGACAAAAAGATGATTCGTCCAAAGCGGATATAGATGAGATCATTGAATTATATGGTTAAGTAATCTAGCAAAGTCTGGCAATTCTAGCTAAGAAAACTTAGTCATAAGATGCTTTGTATAATATTATTTTTATATATTTTTTCTCATACAATAATACTGGCTAACTTCAATTTCTATCTTTGAACTTCTGGCTACCGATCATACAGCCTGGCCTCAGAAATATCTGGAGATAATAAAAAATAGTTTCAGTTAGGGGAGATACTCAGTATTACTTTTTTTTCATGAATTCCAGCATTTCCTTACAACAAGCCATATAACCGCAATCAGTAGTAAAGCAAGTATAGAATACATTATCATCAGCGACATTAGAGAACTTGTAATGACAGGAACAGTCACTGATGCTAGAAGCATTTTTTAGGATAATAATACTGCTTTTGTGACACCTGATTGCTTCGCATCCCCTTTTCTCAAAATATACTTTTCAGAATGTATTGGTTGACTATGAACAGATTGATTAGGTAGGATATTTGCCTGGTTGATGGTCTCTTTTGGGATTCCACTTCTTAAAACCATCTCATCTTGGGGTAATAGCTTTTGCAAAGCCTCTAATATATTTTCTCTAGCAAAACTTTTATTGAGTTCTATAACTTTACTTTCAAGATCATGCTCATAGATGAGAGGCTTAAATCATTACTGATCCAACTTGATAGCTTTTGTGATGAATCATTCATAGGCAGAGGCGAGGGATTAAAGAGATCTACTATTTCATTATCTTTTTTTGAGATTATCTTTTAGAGGTAGGAATTTTTATCTATTAAATTTAATCATCCCAAAGACAGAATATCAATTTCCCATTTGTACATGTAATCTGACAACTCTTTCACTTTTTCTATACATTCTATTTCATGTTTTTTGAATTAAGGTTCTCATTCGCTCACTCCAATTTAAGCTTAAGAGAATCATGATATGTATACTCTAGATCTACTTTCCAATTCATGTATTTTAGTTTCAAAAGAAAGAATCTGGATCTTATCAGTAGACGAAGCTTTCTGGATTAAAGTTACCTCTCTTTTTAATGTTTTAATATTTGATTTGAGCAATTGGATTTTAGCAGTATATTTGACCTCAAGCTCACATTGACATTCAGAATGAGACTTCCATTCAGAAATAAGATAGAATCTAACTTTAGTACTAGATGCAATTAACTGGCTAGCTTTATTTTTCATGTTAGCATAGTTTTTTTTCTCGCTCATTGTACTTATCTACCAGTTTTTCACTGAGATAATTAATCTCAGAGTTAAATTCGGTAACAGATCTTTTTTTTTTGAGCTCTTGCTCATATGCACTATCCAGCTGATGACTGGATTTTTTATAAGAACCATCCTCTCTGTCTTTTATATCATTTAATGTACATTAGATATAATATTAGCATAGTTATATATTTGAAAAAAATGCACGAATATATTTCTGAGATAATAGAGATAATCTGTTTATTGAGAATAATACATTCTTTCTAAATATCCTATTTATCCTATATATTCTATACATCTAAAATATTTTTTTCCTATATATTTTATATATCCTATATATTCAGAATAATATATTCTTTCTATATATCCTATTTAATAAATTATTTTGGAGTATTATATTAGATATAAAAAAATATTGCTACCATGCTTAGGCAACGCATGAAATGTGATGCCCCTTCTTTTTCACTAGCCGATTACAATCATATTATGCAATATGCTAAAAAAAAGCCTAGAGATAAAGTTTTAAAGGATTTAACAGATAAATATTGTACATCATAAAAACGTATTTATCAGATCTGGAGAAATGAAAAAAGGGTTGCGTGAAATCAACTAATTCATATGCTAATAGCTGATCTTAGAAGGACCGCTTTGCTTTCTAATATAAATGTTATAGGTGAACAAACTGAATCAGAGCTCTAAAACTAAGATGTTTCTCCATTTGCAGAACTGGAAAAACAAATACACAATGGTAACATAGAGCCTAGCAAATCTATTAATTCAGTTTTGGAAGAAGGTGGAAAGGTGAAAAAAATTGGAGGAAAGAAATTGAAGTCCAAATCCACCTTAGTAGAGTTAATATCATCTTTCATTCAGATTCAACCAATCCTTATATTGCATGAGAAGATAGCTAAATGAAGTATAAAAACTGTAGTGAATATTAAGAATATATTAGAAAAATAACTTGCTTATTCTCTAAGAAGTTTACCATAGCGTATCTGTAATCTTTCATAATACTCATTGATTTCTGCATTATTCTTAAAAGTGCTATATAGCATTTTTTCGAGTTCCTCATAATTCACTTTATTTGTATCATCCTTGCTTAAGTCCTACGAGTCCTGCAAAATACAGTTTAGGGTTGAAGAATCATTACATTTAGGAGTAATGTTCACACAATTCACCTCAAGCTTGTTCTTGACCTTATGCATATTAATTGGGATAAAAAATTTCTTACCATTATACTTTAGTCTTAATTCTCACTTTAATGCAAGTAAATCATAATTATATTTGTCAAGAAGTATATTAGGTAAGATTAGCATCAGCTTAGGATACTTAACTACAGCAAAATCAGCATATATAATACATCTGAATGCGAAATTTACTGAGACATTTTTAACAATTTTAAGCAATTCTGTAGGAGTAGTAGCAATGCTTGAGATCATGTTTTTCTTTTGTATCAATTTTTAGCTTTAATTATTTAGCTATATTCTCAGACATAATTGCGAAATTGGTATCAGGATCAACTGTACCCACTGGAATCATTAGACACTTAATTTATACTTAACAGTGATAACATCTGTGATGTATTCTTTTTTTTGGACAAAGTCTATCTCTATAAGACTATCAATAAACCCATCATCTTCAGAATTGACCAGTATTTTAGAATCATCATTTTACGAGTGATAGAGAGTTGTAATAGTACCAAACTTTTTATTAAGCACCTTCTCAATAATTTTTTCAATAATTTTTTCTAAGCGGAATTGTTCATCCTGTGTCGGGGTCTTTAAACTATGCTTTTCCTTCTTAGAAATAGGAACTGATGTTAAAGGAGATATTCCTGCATCTTTTATCTTACGAAACTTGCGAGTTTTTGATTTCTTCTTCTGTAAGGAGGTAATACACTACCCTATAATAAATTTCCAGATTTTATAAATTTTACTTAGTAATATATAGTAAAATTGAAGATTTTCAGATTGTATAAAAGTTTATGAATTTTTAATAAATTTCATTCTAAATTTTTTTATTTAATAACCAATCAATTATAATTTTAAAAATATAATTCAAAAATATTCTATTTATAAAATACTGAAAAAATACTCATTGTAAAATGATAGACAACATAATTTTATATATAAAAATGCAAAAAAAACATATAAAAAAATTGTTGCTTATACTTCAATATGAGAAAACTTTTTTATGTTCTAAAAAATTTCTTTTTTCATTTTAATATCTAAAAACTATAATTGATTAACTATCAAATAAAAAAAAATCAGATGACTTTTATTGAAACTTATAAACTTTTATGCAACCTGAAGATCTTCAATTTTACTATATATTACTAAGTAAAATTTATAAAATCCGGAAATTTATTGTAGGGCAGTGTATAATAATTAGATTTATACATAATTAAGTTTAAATATATTTAATTACTTTTAATAGATTAGATAATAATTAAATTTAATAATTTAATAATTTTACAAATTTTATTTTTATTAAACTTTTTCTTAGATAATTATTATAAAATTATTTTTTAAAATTATAAAAAAAAATAATATATTTTAATATCTAGTAATCATAACATATTTGATAATACCTAATAATTTATTTCAATAAATATTAAAATATTTAGTATTATTAGTAATTATTGTATTTACTATCATTTATATCATACTTTCACTTATCAAGATCTAAATATTTTAAATATTTATTCACTTTAATTTGCTTTACCTAACTTGACTTGTTATTTATCTAATCAAGATATAATTAATAATACTAATATTAAATTTCTAGTATATATTAATAAATCACAAATTAAATTAGGTTAAAAACTTTTATCCTTTTAAAAAAATCTATTATCTAATAAATAAAATTTTAATTTAGTTTATTAGATCTTCTCAAAAAACATATTAAATAGTAATATTTTCATATTTTTAAAATAATTAAATAATAAAATAAATAATTAGATAATTTTTATAATTTATTACTTATTTATTCTTAAAAATTACTAATAGCAATTTATTTTTGATTTTACTTAATAAAACATTAATTTATTACAAATTTAATATTTTAATAAAATTTTATAAAAATATTTTTAAATAAAAAGTAAAATTGACTTTTATATTTAAAGGTAAATAAAGGATAATAAATATGAAAAAAAAAAGAAAAATAATATATATATTTAAATTATTAACTTATTTTTTTAATGATATTATGTTTTAATAGGGGTGGTTCTTTGCGGGCAATTACTTTGCTATTTAAAAATAGGGAAAAATCTACTTTCATTCTAACAAAAAAAAAAAAAAAAAAAATTCAAAAAAAACAAAAAACTCATTTTCCAAATACTTTTACTTCCTAATGTTTTTTCATGCAGATTCATAACAATATTATTAAAAATTAATAATATTCATAAAAAAAATTATAAAAATCTTACCCCTAATAAATGATCCGCTAATCTACACGTTATCACGAAAACTAATAACAATAAATTGTGCGTCCCTAGTACGTTCTTTGATATAATAGCGACGATTATCATATTACGAAAATTCAAGGTCGCATCAATCTCATCCATAACATATAAGTGTGTACGTTTTGAAATGGTGCAAAAGCCAAGCACTAAGTGTCTTGTTTTGATAAAATAATTTATTCGTTACATATCAAGTATAATTAAAATTGAAACATTGGAGAACATACGAAATACCTTTTCTCCACCAGATAAATTCGAAATATTATTCCAACCTATTTCGGCGGCATAACACTAAAAAGAATGCCTTCAGAAAAGGGATCAAGCTATCTCGGCATTCCTTCAAAAGCAATCATCTAAAAACAAACATTTGTTTTTATCATTTGTTTATATTTTATATAACATATATTGAGATAAAAATGTTATTAAATACCTGATATATTTCTTTAAGCTTTTGAGAAATAAAATTGAATCCATGCATGTATTCGTACAATCTGCTTCCTTAAAAGATTGTAACCCTCTTTACATTCATTACGCTTAAAAGTAATCTCTTCAAAATCTTTTTGACGTAATTTATATTCCTTCAAAATATTAGAATTGGGTTGCATTTTCGGTTTTTTTCTAGGGATTTTTTTTTTTTAAAAAATAATAATTAGATATAAAGAATAAATAGAATATAAAAAAAAAAAATTAGAAAACCTTTAAATTGCGTAAAAAAGATCCAGACGAGATTACTGTTAAGCTTTATGAATGCAAAGAAGAATACGATCTTTTAAGATTAGAAGAATTCATGCATGAATTCAAATTAATCTCTCAAAAACTCAAAGAAATGTCTCATGTATCAATCTCTCCTTGTAATGTATCTTTGTTCATTGCATCGAGCTCATCATCAATATAGATTTAAAATTCTTGCTCCTCGTCACCCCTCAATGATATAAATGGTAGAATGAAAAATTTAAAAATATCATCAGCATGCCTTACCCGATTTCATGAAGTGTAAGGTTGCTAAGAGATTTTCTCCAATGAATTTCTTTTTGTTTATTTTCTGTCAAATTGCGTTCATTATCTTCTATATGGTTTTGGATTTTAAAACAATAAAGTACATAGTATGATTAGTCATTAAAAAAAAGGTTGACTTAATTTTAAGAGAATAATGATAAAAGTAAATATAAACCTCAATTGCTCTAATCTTATTAATAATTTCGGTTTTTTCATCAAATTCTTCCTTGGTCTCATCTAATTCTTCTTTTTTACTTTCCAATATCTAAATATTTAGAAAAACATTTAAATAAGCATTTATATATTATATACATAACAAAATTCAGATATAATAAATCATAAATACAGATTTGGCTTCATCGGCTTTAATACGAATGGAACGTGCAACATTGGCTTCTGTTGAATTTCTTTTGTAATGTTTTCTCTCTTTCACTGTTTGCTAGAGAATTTTCGAATTTATTCATTTTCATTTCCGCCCTTGATTTGGCCACTTGCCAATTACCAAAATCTTATCTTGCAAAATCTTAATCACTTCTTCAATTTTAGAAGGTTGACGTTTCAATCTATCTAACTCTTGTGTAAAATGATCAATTTGTGTTCGAAGTTGTCCCATACTCCTGGTATCATCTATATTTAAATTATCTTTTTGCCTTAAAGGAAAAATCAAAAAAAAACGTGATTTTTATTAATATTTTACCAAAAATTTAATGGTGAAAAGGTTCTAACATGCAGTAACTCGACTATACTTGTTTCATTATCAGTAATATTTTTTACGCAAGCATCAGCATACATCTCTGACTTTGATAGTTCAAACTCTAATTCAGGAAGTTCATCATTTTTCTCTTGAAGTTGAGATTCTAAAGAACTAAGTTTTTCATTAAATTTTCTCCACTGTACTTCTAATTTTGCTATTGTCTCGGGTGTTATGTCGGAAAAAATGTTGAATTCATGGCACCTTTCAACACTTGGGCATTTCCGCCACTCATAGTGACAGATTTGTCAATTAATTCACCATCTAAAGTCATTACGCACCATCGAGTTTTACCAAATGCTATCTATACTATTCGCTTGTTGTAGATTTTCGGCTACCAAAGTATTTTATAAAATGCTGGGATAAAATTATCATCTTTCGATCAAAAGACGGGGAACATTTTTAAGTGTTTGTATCCGGGCGCATATCCACAGTAGGTAGGTTATTCAAAAGAATGAATATGACGCGACCTAAATTGTTTTTTTTAAGATGTTCTACACAAGTTTGTTCAACTTTAACAGAATCAACCACGATGTTGTTCAATGCAGGACAGGCAGTTGATATCGCAACAGCGTATTTATTATCAATGACACCAAGGTTACCCAACCGATCCTAATTAAAAAATTAAAATAAATAAGATTTTCAGCAAAACAATAACAATTTATAGCCGGAGAACTTACATATAATCCGCTTATACAATCATTATCTTTGAGATTTATCAAGCTGCTAAGAATTTGTTCTCTAGACCGAGAAGATTATAAAAGATTTTTCGACACCTTCTCTTTGTTGAGAATCGGTAAGACTAGACTTTTTTGCTGACTAAGGTAATGCTAAAGTAATAAAAGATATTTTTGATTATCTTAAAATGCTTAATATATTAATTTAAATGTTAATTAAATAATAACCTTTAAATCAGTGTCCAATTGTTGAATTTTTCGTTTCAAGTCTTTGATTGATTCTTTGTAGATGAGATTTCTTGATCCTAAATAAGTAGTTCATTATGATTAATTAATTGATCACCAAAAAACAAATTGATACCTTATAATAATACCTTTTTCCGCCATGATTCTCTAAGCGTGACAGCATCATCTTCTGCTTGTTTAAGATCTTGTTTTATTGAATCAACTTTCTCATTTAAATAATATACTCCGATTCCTTGATATCAACGAGAGATTGCTTCTCATTGATCTTCACTGATCAAGGCGCAACTTCAATTGGTCAACAGACTTGCCTGTATTTAAGATTAAATCCAGTTTCAATATAATCACAATATAAAAAAAAATATTTACACAATTGGATTAAAATAATCGATTTTCATACCCTTTAAGGCTTCCATGATTTTTTCAAGTTCACTTTCTTGAGCCTCTATAGATCTTTCCAAGCCCACAATTTCTTCCATTCGGTCATTCAAATCCTGTTCATTGATGTTGGCGCTTCCGAAAGTCCATGATGACACTAAAATGAAAAGCATATTTATTGTATGTCCTCGAAAAAATATATATATACAGTATATATGCATCAAAATAATATAACCTAATATAAAATACCGTAAAAATTGCCATTGTCACTTTCTTTTGTTTTTAAGTTGCATGTTTCTTCTCTCTTCCAGGTTAATATCTTCTTTTTCATGATTTGCCAATTCTTCTTGATTCCATTCGTTTCTTTTTCAAGTTGATTATTAAAAAAAAAAATATCATATTAATGAAAAATTAATATATTAAATTAATATAATTTATTTTACCAGAAAGGCATTAACAGAATCGTTGTATAGATTTTCGAGATCTTTGTTATCTTGTTTTATCAAAACATGCTTTTCTTCTTCTTCTTTTAGTTGATATTTTAAGAATTCATAATCGTCATATTAAAATTAGCTTGTCTGAAAAAGTTATTAAATCTAAAGATTTACCACGGACTTAATTGATATTTGAGTTTTATTCTTACAATTTAACAAATTATTTTGAAACAGAACAGACTGCTTCAAAGTTGACGTGATTTCATCTCGGAGAAATTCTTCAGCTTCGTTTTTCTTGGCCTTTATAATTAATAAGATTAGAATCATAATTGTTATTTAATATAAATATAAACGCGATTGATTAATATGTTACCTCAAAACTTTGTTTCTCCTTTCAACTAGATTAACGCGATTTAATTTCTCTGAACGTTCTTCATCCAATAATTCATGCTTTTCATTTGCTTCTTCAAGTGGGATTTTATTCCGATAATGTCTTCAAAAAATTCTAAGAGTCCATCTTCATGCTTATTTTGGTGCTTTGGGTTTCATCTGAGATATTGATCTAATCATTAATTTAATCACAAAATTTTATGATGTCAATACATTAATAATTACGAAAAATAAAAATAAAATTTTTAATTTTTAAAAAAAAAAAATAAAGCACCTGCAAATTAGAAAACGTTTAATGATCCAAATCGAACTCTTTCTCTTTCAAAACTTCGGTGTAATTGCTTTGTCGTCCATTAATGAAATACTTGCATGAAATACTTGCTTGCATTATTGCGAAAAGCTTGACGCGAGATAACCAATTGAGATTGAGATACAACCTCATAATCATCTGGATCATGCTAGATTATTGAACATTATGTGATTAATTTTTTTTTATTTTGGGGAATTATAACTTTAATCATTTACCATATCAAGGATTTCTTCAAAATGCACATCCACATCAAGGTTTTCACATCCTTGTGATGAATGAAAAAGTTCTGATAATTTTCTTGCCTCATTTTATTTGCACGATATACAAATAAAAATAAAAGCGCGTCTATGACATTTGATTTTTCAGAACCATTTGGTCCGACAATCGCAGAAAATGACTTTTGAAATTAAAAATTTTAAGATTAGAAAGAATCTCGTGCCGCAGAAATCTCCAACAAGGCAAAATATATATTATACCTTGTGAAAAGTGCCTATTTCAATTTTACATAAAGTTGTAAAACCATTTTTTTGATAACAAAGCGCTTTTTAGGTTCAAGAACAGGAACCTGACGCGTATCTGTACCCAAGGAACTTGGAGTCTTTGGTAGAACATAGAAACGCTAGTGTGATATGGTAAATATTACTGGAGTTTATGAAATTATAAAAGAAGGTTCTTCAAAAACTTATATTTTTAAAAAAAGAAGAAATATCGATCAGGGACGATGATTTGCTGCGGTGATAAAAACCACAAAATTCTTTGATGTGATACCGATTTTCATATCTGTGTAATTCTGTGTGAAAATCAATTCGGTGTTTTTATGTATTTAAAAAAATATAAAAAATTTGCTTTAAAAATTTTTTAATGATTCGCACGAAAGATTTTGCCGATTATTATTTAAAAGGTTATTATACATAGAGAAACTACGCTCTACACTGCAATTTTTGACAAAATTGGTACATTTGATTGCATTCCCATCCAATACAAATTAAGAGAAGGATTACAAAGTTCTTTAATTACTGAATATCTACGAATATCTCTAACTTGAATTCCTGTTTTAATATATAATGGATCAAAAACACAACAAGCACGAAAT